CATTTTCCATTATGAGACTTTTGGAGATGTCTTAGATCCTTGCATTGCTGAGAAGGGCTAAGTCTATCAAAGTTAGCCATTGCACAGCATGGCTGTTGCTGCGTACAACATTCTGGTTCTGCTCACTTCACTCAGCATCAGCCCATACAAGTCTTTCCAGGTTTGTCTGAAGTCCACCTGTTCATCATTTCTTATAGCAAAATAGTATTCCATTACATTCATACACCACAACTTGTTCAGCCAATCCCCAATTGAAGCGCATCCCTTCAACTTCCAATTCTTTGAAGGCCTGGCATTCTTCAAAGCACAGTTCAGGTGCTGCCTCTTAGATGAGGGCTTTCCTTATTGCCCTAGTTATTAGTATTGACTTCCTCTTGAAATTGCTTTTCATATACTTTATTTAATTTCTTGTGTACATGTTGTATTCTCTCCCTCCTTCTCCCAGCCCCTAGAAAGCAAGCTCCTTGATAGCAGTATTACTGGTTTTTGTTCTATGTCCCCAGTGTCTAGTGCAGTTCTTTGTACTGTACTCGAATTGACTTGAAGAATGTTGGATCTATCTGGATTCCCATGAGGTAACCATTCTTCTCATTTGAGAGATTAAGATGCTTTTCCTAACAGGTTCTGTAGAGTCAATGATAGAACTAAGGTATTCTACATATTATTCACTAGACTGCGTAATGCTCCTAGCAGGGAAAAAAAATGTATTTTCCTGTTACATAGTTTGGAAAATGTGTTTTGGTACCCTCTTGTCTATTTAACTGCAGAGTTCCTTTCCAAGACGGTGGGCTTTGTGTGAAGGGAGAGGGAGAGGGAGATCATACTGGAGAAGAGAGGTCCTTGAATATCAGATTAAAGAAAACAATGACTTTTTCTAGATAATTATTATTAAGGGAAATATTGTGATAGGAATGTTCTTTGGAAGAGAAGCACATAGGACTACCTGTGGTACTAAAGATCTCATTTAATAGGAGCATAGGAAAGAGAGTCTTATGAGTGAGAAACATTTGCTCCTCATAGAGGTAGCAAATCTGTCCTTTGGTCCCTCAAACCGAACTTACTGGATAGATGTTTAGTTCATCTTTGCATATTAATAGCTTAGAGATCATCTTGCTTAATCCCCTGATTTTACCAACAAGGAAACCAAGGTTCAGAAAGATTAAATGACTTGCCCAATACCATACACCTAGCTAGTGCTAGAATTAGGACCAGAACCCAGCTGTCCTGATTCTCAATCTGGCATTCAAATTGTTTTTTCTGGTCTTTGGGGACCATGAATAAATTTACTTGCTGTAATTTAAATGGCTTATTTTCACATAGTTCATATCATACTCTCACTGTCCTTTTGCTTCCTATACTGCTTAACTAAAAGAATATTCCCTCCTCCCCCCACAAAAAAATGAATATGTGTCTGCTTGGAGTGGTTGAGGTACATTAGCTGAATGACTTCTTCATGTACCTGCCAACTTTATGACCCCATGATCTTCCTCAGGCTTTACACACAACTTAAATCCTCATGATAAGCAAACAAACAGACAAAAGAAAGGAGAGCTTATTAATTATAACTATTAAGATAATTATAAAAAAGGAAATTATGCCCATTATCACCAATATTATTCAATATTGTACTAGAAATGCTAGCTATAGCAATAAAAGAAGAAAAAGAAATTAAAGGAATCAGAATAAGGAAGCAAAACTATCTCTCTTTTGCAGATGTTTTATGGTATACTTGGAAAATCCTAGAGATTCAATCAAAATAAATTAATTGAAACAATTAATAATTTTATCAAAGTAGCAGGATATAAAATGAACTCATATAAATCATTAACATTTCTACATATCACCAACAAAGCCCTGCAAGAAGAGATAGTAAGAGATGCCCCATTTAAAATAACCATAGACAATATAAAAGACCTAGGAGTACACCTGGCAAGACAAACCCAGGAAATATATGAACATAACTATAAAACACTTTTTATTCAAGCAAAATCAGATTTAAATCATTGAAGAAATATTAATCGTTTATGAGTGGGCTGAGCCAATATAATAAAAATGACCATTCTACCTAAACTAATCTGCTTATTCAATGCCATCCCAATTAAACTACCAAAAAAAGTATTTTATTGATCTACTAACAAAATTCATTGGGAAGAACAAAAGATCAAGAATATCAAAGGAATTAATGGGGAAAACAATGTAAAGGAAGGAAGTCTATCAGTACCAGATCTTAAACTGTGTTATAAGATGGTAATTACCAAAACTATGTGGTACTGGCTAAGAAATAGAATGGTGGATCAGTGAAATAGCGTAGGTATACAATACACAGTGGTAAATGATTATAGTAACCTTCTGTTTGATAAATGTAAAGATCTAAGCTTTTGGGATAAGAACTCATTATTTGGTTAAAAAAAAAATTGTTGAGAAAACTGGGAAGCAGTCTGGCTGAAACTAGGTTCAGACCAATAATTTACACCATTTACCAAGATAAAGTCAAAAAGGAAATATGACTTAGAAAGGGAGAGATCATAAGCAAATTAGAAGAATGTGGAACATATTACCTATCAGATTTATGGATAGGAGAAGAATTTATGAATAAACAAGAGATAGAGAGCACTGTGGTATGCAAAATGGATAACTTTGATTATATTAAATTAAAAATATTTTGTATAAGTAAAACCAATGTAGCCAAGATGGAATGAAAAATATTGGGGAAAAATTTTATAGACAGTTTCTCAGATAAAGACCTCATATCTCAAATATATAGAGAACTGAGTCAAATTTATAAGAATATGAGTCATGTGTTTTGGTTTGTTTTGATTTCCTTGTCAAAGGTATAAGCCAAGGTGAATATATAGAAAATTCTCTTCACAATTTTTTTTAAGTGGTGCTTGGGCTGGAACCTATTGTTGGCCAATCAATGGTAGCCAGAGTAAATTGGGTTTAAGAAAATTATCTAGTGGCAGCTAGGTGGTGCAGTAGATACAGCTCTGGCCTTGGAGTCAAGAGGACCTGAGTTCAAATGCAACCTCAGACACATGACATGTACTAGTTGTGTGACCTTGGGCAAGTCACTTAACCCTGACTGCCTCACCAAAAAGCAAAAAAAAAAAATCTAGCCCATAAATCCCAAGATAGCTTGCTATATTTCAGCCATCAAAATTTAAGTTCCTTTGGGCAGAGCACCTTCAGATATGGGCATGATACCCCATGTGGAAAGGAGAGGAGAGGAGGCAACCCATATCTTATCCAAGTACTTATTAAGCAATATATGCAAAAGCATCTTGCTAAATAATAGAAATAAAAATTCAAAGCAAAAAAAATCCCTACCTTCAAGGAGCTTATAGCCTAATTATTCAGATAAGGACCCCTGCTTCAAGATATTTGTTTTTCTGTGTGCAAGCCTGATGATGCCCTTTGGGTGTGTCCTCAATTGAGCCTAGCTGAATAATATCTAACTCCCTTGCTAAGCTTGTGCTAGTCAGATCTTGTATATTTCTCCATGGTTGGTCATGTTGTCTTAGTCCTCCTTGGGCTATAATTTAATGGTCTAAATTGACGGCAAAACTTTATGATTTCAAGTTAAATTAAACTGTAAGAAAGCTAGAACCTCCACTCATTTCCTTGCATACTTCAGCCTGGAGAGTGAATCTTTAACTCTTCCTGAAAGCTTGCTCCAGGACCTAATTGATTATAGACTTGGAGATGAAATTTGATTGCTATAACAGTCAGGTGGCAACCAGGGGAAGTCTGTTCTTTCTGATGGGTTGTTGATTGTTACTATATCTTCTTGCCATATAACCTACTTATTAGGAAGTACAGAGATCAGGGGTGATATTTAATGGAAGTATAGACATTCCTGGTAAATGTTTATTACTAACAAACACCTGTATCTGATGGAAAAAAAAATAATATGAGTCATTTCCCAACTGATAAATGGTCAAAGAATATAAGCAAGTAGTTTTTGGAAGAAGAAATCAAAGGTATTTGTAGTCATATGGAAAATGCACTAAATCACTATTGATTAGGGAAATGCAAATTAAAACAACTTTGAGATATCATCTCATACCTATCAAACTGGCGAAAATGATAGAAGGGGAAAATGACAAATGTTAGAAGGGATGTGGAAAAATTGGGACACTGATTCACTGTTGGTGGAACTGTGAACTGATCCAACCATTTTGAAGAGTAATCTGGAATTATGCCCAAAGGGTAATAAAACTGTGTATACCCTTTGACCCAGAAATCCTACTATTGGGTCTGTTTCCCAAGGTGATCAGGGAAAAAGGAAAAGAACTTACATATTCTAAAATATTTATAGCAGCTTTTTTTGTAGTGACAAAGAACTGGAAATTGAGGGGATGCCCATTAATCAGGGAATAGCTGCATGTGATAGATTATGATAGAATACTACTGCGTAGTAAGAAATGACAAATAGATTGATTTTAGAAAAACATGAAAAGACTTGCATGACATAATGCTGAGTGAAATGAGCAGAACCAAGAGAACATTGTATACAGTAACAGCAATCTTGTTCAAAAAGTAACTGTGAATGACTAAGCTATTCTGAGTAATATGAACATTCAGATCAATGACAAAGGACTTATGAAGGAAGATTCTATCCACCTCCAGAGAAAGAACTGATATATGGAAGTATGTATTGTATGGTTTCACACACACACACACACACACACACACACACACACACACAATGTTGGCCTTCTCTAATTCAGAATTGAGAGGCAGGAAGGGAGGGAGGCAACTCAGAACTCAAAATGTAATAAAAAAAAAATTGTTTTGAAAAAAGGAGAACCTTGTTTGAATTCCTGGCATCCCCACACATGTAAGTACGTTTTCACTTGCATGAATGATTCAAGATCTGAAAGTCAGCTTGAAAAAGATGTTCAAAATGAGTAGAAAGAGATTTTTTAGAAATTGGAAAGATCCTTTTTTTTAACCTTCAATAATTCCTTTTGTCTTTCCAATAGAAGTTGGTGGGAAACATGTCTGTTTTATCCAATTTTACACAAGCATTGGAAGATGCTTTCAAAAAGATCTTTGTTACTTATATGAACAACTGGCGCAGCAACACAACAGCAGAACAAGCAGCTCTCCAGGCCAAAGTCAATGCTGAGAATTTCTACTATGTCATCTTGTACCTCATGGTGATGATTGGTATGTTCTCTTTCATTATTGTGGCCATCCTGGTGAGCACAGTAAAATCCAAGAGACGGGAGCACTCCAATGACCCATATCATCAGTACATTGTGGATGATTGGCAGGAAAAGTACAAAAGCCAAATTCTGAGTCTAGAAGATACCAAGGCTACCATTCATGAAAATGTTGATGCTGCAGCATTCAAAATGTCTCCTTGATGATTGAGAAAGAAGTCCACATGCAGAAGACATGAAACTATCATCTGCCTCTCTCTCTGCATACATATATACACATATGTATCCATTCATGTGTACTTGAATGTGTACATGTATGTACATTTGGTACACATGAGTATATATCATTCCATATTATATTACATTTATATTAGTATTTTAGCTAAGCGGACAGTATGGCAATGTGTGTGTGTGTACTGCAAGATAAAAGAAGTGAAACTAACTGATGGCTTGTTTGAGAGAAATTAAGTTCCTTCTTCTCTGCTGAAACCTCTATAGCAAGTCAGATGGTAATAGGCCAATCAAAAGGCATGGTATCTTAATCTATGTTACTCATGTTTAATCCAGTATTTTATGCTATATATATCTTTTACTCATTAGGCACTGTAAACTTCCTGCCCAGAGCAACAATAAAGTTAAATTTTGAAGTGAAAGGTTTTGTTTTGTTTTTAAGATGCTGGGCAGGGGAATGTAAAGATGTACAAGTAACAGTCTTTTTTCTTGGAGCATTATGTTTTCTGAGTTTGGTAAGAAGTCACAGTTCTAGTTTAAATGAAGAGTATTTTTTGTATCCCTTTGTGAAACCAAGATGTTAATTCAATCTATCATTTATTAGTTGGATCCATAAAAACTCATCCATTTGCTTATGATTGTAATGAGGATTTGCACAGATTATGTTCATAGCTTTCCTATCTGCTTCTGGCTGACCAGTGAAGTGGTTCAGCTAGTTCTGGAGTGCTTTGGGGAAACAAACCTCTTGCTGCCTCCATCTTGTGCCAGGGTATAGCCACAAGGAACAGCTAAAAAGTGTGAGAAAAAGTATCCTCTATAGAGGCCAGACTCAGAACCCTCTCTAGCTGCTTCATTTTGCTCGTGGTCATGACTCAACACTGAGGGAACATGGTACTAGGGTTTGACAAGAAAATTCTATATGTTCCCTCGATCATTTCCCCAGACCTTGACAGCAGCTCTGGGATAGAGTACTATGTCAGTTAAAAGGGAGAAGCAGCTTAGGTCTTTCTCATCCTTCGACCTTGGTGGCATCATATGTTCTGGAATTTCTGGTGAATGGTAGGGGGAAGGGCAGCTCACCCTATCCCTACTGATCCCACATAGTGGTTAGGTTGTGATAGTGCTGATATTGCTGATAGTGCATGACAGCTAAAGCCCATGTCCTCATAGCTTTACCCTGGGTTTTAGTTTGCTTCTTCTGAGTTCATTCTTTTCTGATCCTGATAAATTAGTATTGGTCCTGAGATGGAGATGTCCAGGCTTTGAGGCCACTTTGTAAGTTTGAGAGGTTTGGTGGTTCTGAGTTCTTTGGGTATATTTGATGGAAAGTATGGGGAAGAGGCCCTGGCAGCTATGCTTGCCTTTTAGCTAGCTAACTGGCACTTAGATTACAACTCGCCCAAAGAGAAACTCAAGATCTGGCTTGGACTGGCAGAAGATATAGGCCAGAACTTGTCTGGATAGTGCAGGGCTGAGGTGAAAGATAACAGTCCCTCTTCAGCAGTCCAGCAAACTGCCTCACCTTCAGATGTTTAAGACTCCAACCTCTGGGCAAAACAGTGGGTACTGGGAGCTGTTTGAGTGTCGCAGCCCTTCTTTTAGAGGAAGTGGAAAGGGATAAAGCATTTATTAAGAGCCTACCATATCCCAGGCACTGTGCTAAGAGATTTGCAAATATTGACCCTTGCAACAACCTTCACAAGGTAAGTGCTATTATTATCATCGTTTTACAGTTGAGGAAACTGAGTCTGATAGAAGTTAGGTGATTTGTCCAGGATCATACAGCTAGTAAGAACAGAACAGAAACAATGGGAGAAAGAAGCACCAACGAGCAGGAAAGGTTTGAAAGCTACACGTTGAACTTATCAAATACCTAGAAAGAAAAAATGAGCTGTCCATAATAAAGATTATATACAATCCTCTTTTTTTTTTTAAGTATGTATGTTTGCTTCTTTTTTGGCGTTTAAGTTCAGAATGAAAATAAACAGAAAAAAATCAAACTCGCAGCTGGCCCCACAAACTCTGCAAGAATGGCTACAGAAAATACAAGCGGGTAAGATGCAGGACATTCAGATCTTTGCAGCAGAGAACTGTGCACTTAACAGATTATGCTTACTTGTGCCCTGCCCCCTGCATCAGGAACTTCTGGATGTCTGTTGGGAGTTGTAGTTTTAGAGCACAAGAATTCTGGGAGCTGTAGTTTAGTTGCACTTTCCTTGCGCCACGGAAATGGCTACAGAGAGGTATGTATAATGAGATTTCTGAATGTTAAGGTTGGGAGGTGTTTGGGGGAAGGATAGATGATTTATCAGAATGGTCTTTTTTTTACCCCAAGGAAATCAACCAATCAGTCAACTAAAACTTTTCAAGCATTGACTGTGTGCCGGGCGCTATGCTAAACTCTGAGGATACAAAGAAAGGCAAAAACTAGTCTCTACTCTCAAGTACCCTCATGTTATAATGGGAGTGGGAGGTGGGAAGGGGAGACAACGTGCAAAGAGCCATGCAAGATTGATACAGGATAAATTGGAGATAATCAAGAGAGAGGGAAGGCACTAGCATTAAGGGAGATCGGGAAAGACTTCCTACAGAAGGAGGGATTTTAGCTGGGACTTGAAGGAAGCAAGGGACAGCCAATGAAAATACACGAGTCAGGAGATGGACTGTATTGTGAGAGGAACGGCAAGGGGGTCCGCATTTCTGAAAAGCAGAGTATGTAGAGGGGAGTAAGTTGTCAGAAATCTGGAAAGGTAAGAGAGGGGCACGTGGTGAAGGGAGCTCTAAGCACAGTCAGGTGCGAAGGGGTGTGTGTGTGTGTGTGTGTGAGTTCTTAAAAGGACAGTTATTAGACAAGCAGTTTTCAAACTTTTTTGGTCTCTTATACCCTGAAAAATTATACAGGACCCCAAAGAACTTCTGTTTATGTGGGTTATATCAATTGATAATTGCTGTTTTAGAATTAAAACATCTTAGTATTATTATGAAAATAATTTTGACTTCAGGACCCCTGAAAGAATTTTGGGGACTTCTAGGGAGCCCCTGAATACACTTGGAAAATCACTATTTTAGAGTGATAGACTATTTTTGGAGTGGAAAGGGACTTTAGACATTGCAAGGAGGTTTCATTCTTTATTACTTGTGTCCCCAGCACCTAACTGTGTCAGGCATATTGTAGGTATTTAATAATTACTTACAGATTTATTAATTGATTGATCACCTAGTTTAGCCCCATTATGTTAGATATTAGCAAAGGAACCGCAGAGAAATGAGATGACTTACCCAGTTACATTTAACATATTGTAAAAATTACTGGATTTGTAGTCAGAGGAGGTGGGTTCAAATCCTAGGTCAATATCACTTACTTCTCTTTCCAGGACCTCAGTTTCCTAATTTGTAAAATGGACCTGATGATCCCTAAGGTTCCTTCCAGCTCCAAATGTTATGATTTTAGACCACTTGCATGGCTCTTTTAAATTTTTTTTTGTACACAAATCTTGGCCCCACCCCCACCTCCAAAAAAAAGTAGCAAGGGAAGGGAGAGCATTGACAGCAAAATTTTTGAGGAAAGGAGTACTACTACTTGTTACACACCTTCTCTAGTGGGAATCCTGGAAAACTGTGGAGGGGGGCAGTGTGGTAGAGACAGTCAGCCTAGAAATCTACCATGTAAGGCTTTAAGATATACTGTCCAGAAATTTCTGCTTTAGAAATGTGGTTGGAGGGTGGGTTGAGAAGAATATGAGTGAATGAACAAAGCATAAAGTTTAGCCTTCAATCAAAATTCAATAAACGTAAATTTGTCATACATTTATTAAGTGCCTACTATGTGTTAATGCCTACATTGTGCTAGTAATACAAAGAAAAAAATGATACATTGCATTTTCTCAAGGAGGTTGGGGGATATGCTGGGGCGAATACTTTTTAGTCATTTCCTACTATTCCTCATAAATCCATTTGGAGTTTTCTTAGCAAAGATGCTGAAGTGGTTTACCATTTCTTTCTCCAGCTCATTTTGTTGAGGAACTAAGGCAAACAGGGTTAAATGACTTGCCCAGGGTCACACAGTAAGTGTCTGAGGCCAGATTTGAACTCAGGAAGATCAGTCTGTCCACTATACCATCTAGCTGCCCTTGAGGGATAAGATGCACATACACAAATAAGTTGTGAGAATCAAGAACAGAAACCAGATAGGAATGAAGACAGTGTGAATATGGCTGGCCTTGGCAATTCCATGAAAACTGAGGTTCCAAGAGAAACTGACAAAGCAGAGGAAGGGACCCCTTCAGGGGCAGAGTGATCAGAGACAGAATTTAAAACAACAACAACAACAAAAACCAAAACTTGTCAAGCTAGAACTATGGCTTAGATATTAAAGATAAAATTTAACAGGAATAAATATAAAGTCCCACATTTGGATTTTTAAAATCATCTTCACAAATATAAGATGTCAGAGGCATGGAAAGATAGCAATTTGCATGGAAAAATACATGTGGGCCTTTAAGCTCAACATAAGTTAACATGGTTATCTGACTGCTAGAAAAGCTCATTTCAACCAATCTGTCAGTAAACATTCATTAAGCACCTTCTATGTGCCAGACACTATGCTAAGTGCTGGGGAGAGACAAAAGAGACTCCTGTCCTCAAGTAATTTAGTCTAATGGGATAGACAACATGCAGACAAATACATACAAAGCAAGCTAAATACAGAATAAATCTTAGGCTATATTGAGAAATATAATTTCCAGAATGAGGGAACTAACCTAGTGTAGTTATTAGACCTTGTCTTATTCAGACCCAGGCTGAAGTATTACCTTCAGTTATACCTGAGGAAGGACATTAATAAACTGAAGCTCTAGGATGATGAGGGAAAAGGAACCATGCCATATGAAGACCAGTTGAAAGAACTGGGAAATGTCTAGCCTGGAAAGAAGAATTGAGGATAGGGGAATGGCTGGCATGAAGAATCAAGTGAT